TGTTGATGGGGTTTTTGATTTTAGCTGTGAGCTGCCCAGAGTCCCCCGTTGGGGGGAGATGGGCGGCATGCAAATTTAATAATAAACAAATAAATAAATAAAATCCAAGTTTTGGGATTGCCAGAGTCCTTGCCCACACATCTCCCAGAATCCCTTTTCCCTCACAAAGATCAGAAACCTGTTTCACTATTCTAATAGAAGGTGAGATGTTTCTACAGCACAAAATCAGGATAAAATCTTTTCAGTCGATAGATTTAAAAGAGGAACTAAGTTTGGCACCTGCCCATTTTTCTGCGTTGCCCTCAAGTTGCAGAAGACACCCCACAGTCCAAACCCTTTGACCCCTATAGCCCTTCTGCCTATCTTTCACACACACCTACCTTGCCAAGGTTCTCCTGAGGATGAAGGGGAAGAAGGAGGCCCACCTATGCTACCTCGAACCGCAAGAACTCAGTATCTAACAGCTGACGACCGTTCAGAGAACAGGGAGGTATTTGAATTTGGAAGTGGAAGCCAAGAACAAAGACTTTCCCTCCCTACAAATCACCACCACCACCAACTGTTGCAGATCTAGGACTTCTGCTGGCTTTGAGAAAGTGCCCTGATGCAGATACTTTGGAACTGTCTGCTCACACTTCTTTTGTGCATGTAAATATCTTGTCACTCATTGCCCAATCCTCCCTTTGAGGGTCTGCAGCCGACCTGGGCTCCCTACCCTCCCATTCAGTCCCTGAATGAGGGCTACTCCCAAGGGGGTATTTTCAGACTGGGCCGTCAGGGAGGGGCGGAATGAGAGTCACGAAAACCACAGCTCCATCAGAAGCCTCCTCTGATGATACAGGAAGCTGGACATGCAAATACACCATCCCAAGAAACCGGAAGGAAATTCTCAAGCCCACTGGAAATGAGCAGCACCAGAACCCTGTTTGGCAGGGGCAGAAAACTTGGAAGGCAGACGTGGACATCAGTATAACCAACCATCCCTTGGGTTGGCTGTTGAGGAAGGAAGACCACTTACTTGCTGCTTGAATCCTGGCTTTCCTGCTCACCAGCAAACCAAAGCGATTCCGAGCCATGCAACCATATTCCCCTTCGTCGGAAGTGCCATCACCCTTCAGCTTCTGGAAGTGGGAGAAGTAGAGGGAGCCATTGGCCAACGTCAAGGGGTCCTCGCCCTCTGCCACCAACAGCCCGTTCTTCCGCCACGTGATGCTGATGGGTTGAATTCCTTCCACTTGGCAATCCAACACCAGGGGCTGCTCCTGCACAGCAATCTGGTCGCTGGGCTCTATGGTGAATGCCAACTCAGTGGAGGAGCTGAAGTCTGGAATAAGAGAAGAGGCGAAGTCATTCCGAGGCCATAGAAGAAAAGGAACAGCGCAGGGACCTGCAAGGTCTGTGTTGGGGAAAACTGTTTGCCAAGGGAAATCAGAGCACAAACCCAGCTTGGAAGATGCAGATCCAACAAACAACTGGATAGCTTCCTAAGGATCTTACATCTTAAGCTGTCAGGCTCTAAAAAGAAAACATGTTTCTAGCCCTCAGTGTTGCCAAGAAAAATCCAATCATTTTGCAAAATGGTTGCAACCTAAGGACATCTGGCTGGAAAAGGAACAGCTGGTCCTTACTTTATAGCAGGGTAGGGAATTTGTTTCAATGGGGCAGAGGCCTTATTTTTATATAGTATTTATTTAATTGGCCTTCAAGGAGTATAAGGTGATGTCAATGATACAACAATGTTACTGGAGGAGAAGAGTCATTTTTGGTCTTCTTTTAAAGGTGGATGGATTTTTGTTTTAAGATCAATAGGTGTATTAAGGCAAGCAAGGGCTTAATAAGTCTATTTTCTGAGAGAGGAATGAGACTGGAAATAAAGATTAAAAACCATGTCATCAATATTGGCATTTGCTTCCAAATTTACTGATGCAACCTAGCAGAGGACTGGGGTGGTGGAAAGGTTGCATGTGACCTGAGAGCTCACCAGGCTGGGCTCATTCTATGTGCTAAGACTATGATCTGTCTCATTTTGTCTTAGCATGTTGTGTGAACCCCCCACTGTGATTTATGCAGTTAACCATAATTAAGCACACTCTAGCTTCACATAACGCGTAAATCCAGTCACTATAATCTGAAGTTTCTTAGGAACGGGGAGATTGCCAGTTGCAAAGTGAGCCAAAATTGTATTTCATCACTATCTCAACACAAATGCCCACAAATTGTTCCTGCTTATAGCAAAGTTTCCCAAACTGAACTTTGGGGGTGCAAGAGATAAAGTGGTCTGGAAGAATTCAGCATAGGAGCTCCCTTTGTAATGGAGCCATCTGAAACTTCAAATACAGTTCTTTAACTCTTTAAAAAAGAGGCAAGGAGCATTGCCAGGACTGGGGAAAGCTGATGTTTTAAAATGCTTAATGGATTAATAAAAGCAGCAGACGCAAAGGCCGTGTTTATTCTCAGCTCTACTGCTAAAGCTAAATTGAGTCTCTGAGTTTGGAAAAGTTTTGCCTTACTTTTGACCCACAGCTCAACATCCCTGCCTTCTTCCTCAGTGTCTCCATCTGCCTTATCTCAGGTTACACTCCAAGTTGATCCCCTCTTAATCCAACTTGAGTTGCCATCTAAAGCAAGAGGGGGAATCTGGAAAACGCCAGCATTTGTCCAGCACACTAATTCATGGCCAAAAAGATAAGGGACTCTCACTGTCCCCCCTTCTCTCCCTCCAAGGGTTCCTTGTTAAAAGGCGATGGAAGAACGTGAGGACTTGCATTCTACCCCCCAGCTTCACCTTAGGATGTCTGGGAGCATTAGTGCCATCTCTGGCTGGGTTTCCCAAAGTGTGGTGGATACTGGCTAGGATGCACTGTGCATGACTCACTCCTGAGCCTCGGTTGCAGCATGATGGTAGGACGGGTTTGACAAAACCCCAATGTAGCAACATCTGGTCCACTGTCTGCACTTGGTGCACTAGAATTAGCATCTGGTGGATCCTCGTTGCACCTTTTCCTTGCTGTCCCCCAAGGGCTAAGGGCCCAGGTTAATGCACTGTGGCCCCTATTCAGCCTCAGATCTGAGCCAATGACCCCCAACCCCAAACCCACAGTAATGCAACTGGAAAATTTAGACTCCAGATTGAGTTCCTTTCAGGAGACATCTCTGCAGGATTTCAATTCTCCTTTTCTCATCCCACTTTTTATGACCATACTTAGGTTTCTGGTATATTAGAGAAAAAAAGAACCTGTTTTTTAGAAGGACTGTTTTGCATTTTAAACTCTCAAATCGGGACACAGTAAAATTAAGCTGCTCTCATGCTACTTGCAATGAACAGGCAGAAGCTTTTGCAAGCTACAGCTCACTTCATCAGGGGAAAGGTGCTATGTGACTCATGGTATTTGATTATAGCACCACAGATTAACCCCACTCTCCTCCTCTAATGTTTGTAATGAAGAGGAAGAAAAGGATCGTCAATATAGAAATAAAGTAACTGTATTTATATGGCACATCAACAACTCTAATTCCAGATTGTTCTCGAAGAAAGGGCCTCAAATCAAATGTGTCAGCACCAAATGGCCCCAAGACAATGGGAGCCCACAAAGTTTTATTCTTTCTTCCTCCTTTTTGGATTGTAAGCCTGAGATCAAGATTTGCCAATGCACACATTGCAGAGTCAAAAGTTGTTAACCAGGGTTGCTGAAGAAATGGCAATTGGATGGGTTCACTCAACACTCAAGCAACATCAAATGAACCTTGCGATGTCTTAGAGTAATATGTGAACCCAGCATCATTCTCACATAAGAAAGGGATGAGTGAGGCCTTCTCTGCTGGAGACCTAGAAGGTTGAAAATGCTCTAGAACCTATGCATGAAGCAGACATGGATAAGATGTAGATGGTGGAGTGGTTGGACTAAGACTGATCCAGGTTCAGGTCCACCAGAATCAGGCGACTTGGAGTCAGTTACTGTCTCTCAGTCCAGCCTACCTCACAAGGTTGTTTGGAGAAGGGGGGGACTGGAGAATGGCATGCTAAGACCACCCCTCTGAACTTCCTGGTGGAAGGGTGGGCCAGAAATTCAGCGAGTCAGTCAAACAATTAAGCAGAAACTCAGAAGAAGGGATTTATCAACCCATCAAGAAATGCTCTCGGCTCAATTATTTTGCCTTATCGGATTCCAGATCTTAACAATTCAGGTGCTCTGTTTGACACTCAGAATTATAGGAAGAGGAATGTTAGAGACAGCATTCCCGGCCGGGCAACCCTGCAGCCCTTTGGCCTCTCTCCTCGCCCCCGGTGGGGTGGGAAGGCCATTTTTGAAAGCCAAAAGAATGTTTGCATTAGAGGCCAGCTCAGACCCAGCAGAATACGGCTGAATCACCAAAAAAAGGCAAATTTTAAATAGAAACATGGGTTCTATTTCCCTTTTTTTTTTTTTACTGGAATTCTTCTCAAAGAACTGAAAGGCAGCTCCAGGCCAAGGCGAACCATCACCACCACCATCACAAAAAGAAATGAAATTGAGGTGGATCCCCTTTGTTTTCTAGCACATGGAAACAATTAAATGAAATGATTGAGAATTGCCACTCATTTCCTAATATGTCACCTAATCGGCTGTACGTCACTTAAGCCAGCGCCTGGAGGGAAAACATCTCACGTTGGCAAAGATGATACCTTTCAAACCAAAACGGGGCACTGCACACATTGCAACATTGGAAGGATGGCATGTCGCGCCTATACACATTTACTCGGAAGCAAGTTCAATGTTCAGTGGGGCTTAATATCCAGGCTTGCAGCCCCTAACATTTCTTAAATATTTGGGCGATTCTTCATCAACCAGTTAAGTGCAAGTTCTCTCATCGCCAGCTGGGGCTTCGTTGAGGGAATGGTTTTAATCGCTTTACCTTTTATTAACAGCAGCAGGATAGGGCAGGGGAGAAATAGAACCGACATGGGTAAGAAGGAAAACAATAATGATGATGATGATGATGATGATGATGATGATGATGATGATGATGATGATGAT